TTCTGGTCCAGGGTCTGGTCAGGTCTAGTTCTGGTCCAGGGTCTGGTCAGGTCTAGTTCTGGTCCAGGGTCTGGTCAGGTCTAGTTCTGGTCCAGGGTCTGGTCAGGTCTAGTTCTGGTCCAGGGTCTGGTCCAGGGGCTAGTTCTGGTCCAGGGTCTGGTCCAGGGGCTAGTTCTGGTCCAGGGTCTGGTCCAGGGGCTAGTTCTGGTCCAGGGTCTGGTCCAGGGGCTAGTTCTGGTCCAGGGTCTGGTCCAGGGTCTAGTTCTGGTCCAGGGTCTGGTCCAGGGTCTGGTCAGGTTTAGTTCTGGTCCAGGGTCTGGTCAGCAGCAGGTTTTACGACCGATGAAATCATGATGAATCGAGAAGAACAAAGAATCTCTTCTAATAAAAAAATAAAATCAAACGAGACCAAAATACAGACTAAAATGAAGACCTGACTCCTGCCTCCTCTTCCATGTGCTCCTTCCTCCTCCTCTTCCTCCTGCTCCTCCTCCTTCTTCTGCTCCCTGAGCCACCAGTGGATTGTGATGCAACTTTGTGACTCCATTCTCCATTGGACGATACAGTTTTCCCAGCATGAAGAGAGAAGATGTTTTATAAATATCCATGATTTGAACTCTGACTCATGATCTCTGTCAATACTTTCATATTTTACTTTTGAAACCAGAGAAAAGTGTTTCATTGGAAACGCTGCATATATTTTCTTTCTTTCTTTTTTCTTGGTTTGTCCATGAATAAAACTGTCCGTAGCACACGCTGTGGTCCCACCTGACTTTTTATAAACGGTTCTGCAAACAACCGTCTGTGACACTGCTCCACTGGACGAGTTTCTGTACGAGAAAAAAAAAAAACTCTCTGCTGTCGTTAAGGTGCAATGACACAAAAGGTCCACTAGAAAAAATAAAAACCAGCCTTCTCAACGAGTATATATTCAAGTTGTCGACTGACACGTTGCATGTCAGTCGTTTTTGAGGAACAGTGGTTAAATGTGGTATTCTAATGGTGAGGCAAACCTCCCCTAGGGGGCGCCAGTGCACATTAGGGGAGGTGAAAAATGGGGTAAAAGTTATTGCACATCAGTTTTAGTCAACAATGTTTTGAACCGTCAACGTTAAACACAAACTCCAGTGTGAGTGTGTGTGTGTGAGTGTCCTGGTTTATGTGTACTTGCAGGAACAATGTTGCTGCTGTTGGGACTCTGTCTTCGTGGGGACATTTTGCAGGTCCCACTGAATGGACAGAGTATTTTCATACTGAAGGTTTAGTCTGGAGACGGGATCATATGATGGTGTGTCTGTGGCTGTGTCTGTGGCTGTGTCTGTGGCTGTGTCTGTGTCTGTGGCTGTGTCTGTGGCTGTCATGTTTCTGCCACTGCAGCACTGTTTGTCTGTCCTCTAGCGTTGCCAACGAAGACATGTCCAACAGCCAAATGTCCTTTCGCGGCAGCAGAGCTGCTGCAGGTTGTGTTTCAACTATAATGGAATCCTTTTTTTTTTCCCATGAGAGGAAATGAGCGACCGCAGGAGAATGCCGACGAAACTGAGAAAAAAAATAAATCCAGGAAGTGAGTCCTCTGTGATGTTCTTCAGCGTTGGTCCTCCTCAGTTTCACCGACTCGTCTCCGTCCAGTCCTTACAGTCTGTTAATGAGGGTTAATAACAGAATAATCTTTGGAGAAAGAAATCCAACCTGTGTTGACGTCATCGACTCCTTTGGACGGAGATTAGATTTAAGGGATTTGAAAGCAAAATAAAAAAAAAAAACCCCACGTGATGAACCTGTGTCTCATAATTCAACTTTCACAGCAGAGAGATTCAAACCATCGTGGAGAAGATTCAACTGGATTGGTTAAGAATATCACACAGTAACTCTGCTGTGTTGAAAGATTCCTGTTGAAGTAAAACGATGTTTGTTCAAAAAAGTGTTGAGAAGCAGCCCACGTGGTCAGCAAAGATGATACTGATGTGGTCCACTGATGTGGTCCACTGAAGTGACCCACTGATGTGGTCCACTGAAGTGACCCACTGATGTGGTCCACTGAAGTGACCCACTGATGTGGTCCACTGAAGTGACCCACTGATGTGGTCCACTGAAGTGACCCACTGATGCGGTCCACTGATGGGGCCCACTGATGGGGCCCAAGGATTCCTACCATGTTTCTGCCACTGCAGCACTGTTTGTCTGTCCTCTAGCGTTGCCAACGAAGACATGTCCAACAGCCAAATGTCCTTTCGCGGCAGCAGAGCTGCTGCAGGTTGTGTTTCAACTATAATGGAATCCTTTTTTTTTTCCCATGAGAGGAAATGAGCGACCGCAGGAGAATGCCGACGAAACTGAGAAAAAAAAAATAAATCCAGGAAGTGAGTCCTCTGTGATGTTCTTCAGCGTTGGTCCTCCTCAGTTCACTGACTCGTCTCCGTCCAGTCCTTACAGTCTGTTAATGAGGGTTAATAACAGAATAATCTTTGGAGAAAGAAATCCAACCTGTGTTGACGTCATCGACTCCTTTGGACGGAGATTAGATTTAAGGGATTTGAAAGCAAAATAAAAAAAAACCCCCACGTGATGAAACTGTGTCTCATAGCAGAGAGATTCAAACCATCGTGGAGAAGATTCAACTGGATTGGTTAAGAATATCACACAGTAACTCTGCTGTGTTGAAAGATTCCTGTTGAAGTAAAACGATGTTTGTTCAAAAAAGTGTTGAGAAGCAGCCCACGTGGTCAGCAAAGATGATACTGATGTGGTCCACTGATGTGGTCCACTGAAGTGACCCACTGATGTGGTCCACTGAAGTGACCCACTGATGTGGTCCACTGAAGTGACCCACTGATGTGGTCCACTGAAGTGACCCACTGATGTGGTCCACTGAAGTGACCCACTGATGTGGTCCACTGAAGTGACCCACTGATGTGGTCCACTGAAGTGACCCACTGATGTGGTCCACTGAAGTGACCCACTGATGTGGTCCACTGAAGTGACCCACTGATGTGGTCCACTGAAGTGACCCACTGATG